CACTAAAGCAAAGCCTAAGTATATAACACCAACAAGGACATGATGGCCCATCAGATAGCTGAGCTTACGGAGCAAATGCGGCTAATGAATGCTCGGACAATGCAGCCAGTACAAACCATGGCAGTGGATACATGCGGATCCTGTGGAGCTCAAGGGCACAAGTCGGAGGTATGCCCATCGGCATTCGATCAGGACCTTGGAGAGAAATATGCTGACGTCAATGCTCTTCAAGGATATCAGAATTGGCAGCCCAACGACCCCTTCTCCAACACTTACAATCCCGGGTAGAGAAATCACCCACACTTCTCATGGTCCAACAACAGCAACACCCTCCAGCCACCTCGCCCAAACTTCAACCAACAGCAACCCCGTTCAAACTTCACGCAACAACAACCTCGTCCAAATTTCATCCCTCGCCCGAACTACCAACAACAACAGCAACCTCAACAGCCAGCCCAAGGGTCCAGTTCAAGCTCGTCAAACCAAGATGACAAGCTGGACAAGATCCTTCAGTTTATCACCAACCAGGACTCGTTCATTAAGCGTCTTGAGACGCAAGTGGGCCAACTTGCCACGAGAGTCGGGAATATGGAGGCCGAGTCTGACAAAGGAAAACTTCCGCGCCAGCCTGAGCAAGCCAAAGCAATAACGGTGTTGAGAAGCGGGAAAGAAGTTGACAACAAGGTGAAAATGCCGGAGCCTGATGACCCAAAGCCAACCGACCAGCCTAAAGAAGCAGGGGGGAGTGCGAAGAACACGGAAGCCGATTTAGAGAAGCCGACGGACGGCCCAATGTTGCACAAGTCTCCCAACCCTTACAAGCCACGCATCCCTTTCCCAAGCCGACTTCGAGATGAGAAACAAGAGCAACAATTCCGGGACCTCTACAACATGCTCCCGAAGGTCAACGTAAACTTGCCTCTCTTAGATGTGATAAAAAATATACCGTCATATGTGAAGTTCTTCAAGGATTTGGTCACCAAGAAGAGGAAGTTCGGCGATGGGGAGAAAGTGGTGGTCTATGAGGCGGCGAGTGCCATGCAACATGATCTCCCGAAGAAAGAACGAGACCCCAGGGGTTTTGTGATAAAAATTACTCTCGGAAATGGGAAAGAAGCTTCGGGGATGCTTGACCTCGGAGCGGGAATCAACCTTATGCCGTTCTCTATCTTTCAGCGGTTGGGTCTCGGTGACTTGAGACCAACCCGTATGTGCCTCCAGCTATCTGACCACTCGATCAGATACCCCAAGGGGGTAGTTGAGGATGTCCTTGTTCGTGTCGGGAAGCTCATTGTCCCAGTAGACTTTGTCGTTTTGGATGTGGGGGATGTGCACGACAACAGGAAGGATCACACTATCCTTCTTGGCAGACCGTTTATGGCCACCACTAACACACTCATTGATGTCAAGAACGGGACCTTGAACGTGACAGTCTTAGGCGAATCAGTGTCTATTTCAGTCCGAGAAGCCACCTTGGCACCTTCGGCGAACTACATGGAGGAGTGCGCGTTCATTGATGTCAGTGACCCGCTCATTGAAAAAAGAACCATACGGGACTTGGAGGAGAGGTTGATGCCCGATCTCGAAGAGGAAGAAGGACCGTTTATTGAGCTGATGGAGGTCGAAGAACCAAGATCGAAGGCCCCACCAACGCTAGAGTTGAAAGATTTGCCTCGTCACCTCAAGTACGTCTTCCTCGATGATGAGAAACAAAAGCCGGTTATCATCTTTGCCGAGCTTAATCGGGACGAAGAGAAGGATGATCGAAGTGCTTAAG